GACGTGGGCTTTAAGTGCAGTGTCTGTTCAACCCATGCTGGCGACGCAGGCAAGTGCGGGAAGCGTGGGAAAGGAGCCACTGACGTGCAGAACCATTCCTTCCGTAAGCACGCCGGCTCACAGAAGCACAAGCTGGTGATGGCAAGAACGTGGAAGATGCAGAGTGGTAGACCTAGGAAATGCTGCATTTCAGAACGATGATGATCCACTTGCATGAGTAGAGTAGATATTGCATGTCGCATGGATGTATTGTATTGTGCCTTTACATTACTGCTCAAGGCCAACATCACACCCTTAAAAACACAATCAGACTTCTCACTGGTGCAAACTCTGAATGATCAGACTTTTTTGGGTTGCGGAGCAACCTATTGCAATCGACTAGAAGGGATTTTATTTTTCGGGGTATTTATGTATTTTCCCCTAACTCTAAAAAATCTACACATCGTTTTCAGATGATTCATTACTAGTAAAAATCATGTCTTGCACATGTTTTAGTAGCTAAAAATCTTGATCACTATGTTGTTATTCTACTCGCCATTCATAATTGTAGACAGTAGAGCTTTTAAGATTTTTCACTTTGAATCGATGTTACAATTTCAGTGGAGAAATATACCGATCGAGCAAAACGATCATATATTTCTCTTCCATCTTCTCTGCTGAATTCTCAACAGAGACAAATGTATTTATCGATCGAATCGATGAATACATCTCGTGGTTCTACCGGTAATTTGAATTTTTGCGCAAATTTTATATTTATACTACCGCTTCCCCAGCGTAGCATGGGGGGGAAGTAGATACGGCAGTATAAACGTTGAATGAAAAACGTGACATGAAGCAATACAGTCTGCAAATCCCAAAGAAAAAACTACATCAATCAAGTCCAGCTCAAAATGGCTTCACTGTCATAGTGGTGTACCACGGAGCCTTATTTGACGATGACCGAGGAGTTTTCTCTTTGAAACGTGCAGACATGCATTACTAATGAAATGAAGAGCAGCACATGATAAACATAAGAAAATATGTAAGAAATCTAACAATTATTAATAATTAAGAGCAGTTAAAACTATTGGTCTATGGGTTGTACGAGATGCTCCTTTCCATCCCTCCTATCCTATGGTATACCAGAATCTGCAATAAAGGGGAAAGGCATAACAAACACAAAACGAACGTGGAAGGAAGAAAATAAATCAAAGTTTACGGGAAGAGGAAAAAGAGTGAAACCGAAGAAGAAATTTCAGAAAACAAAACAGAAGAAATGGTTTTGTTGGACCAAAACTGACCTGAAATGAGGAAAAGTATAGAGACAGAGATAGAAGCAAACAAATGAATATGCTACAGAAGAACGGACAGAAAACAAAAGAAGAAACAGTCATGAAAAGATTACATTAAGAAAAAAGGGAAACTGATACGAAAATGAGAACGGACACCAAAATCCAAGAAATATGAAGGAATAATAAGAAATGGACAGAATGGAAGGAGGAAACAAGGACAAGCGTAAGAAAAGGAAAAGGAATCAAGATGTAGGGAAGAAAGAATAAGGAAAGTGGAATGCCCAGAATAAGTGGTAAGAGAAGAAATAAAGTGAAAAATGCAGTCACAGACAGAAAAGGGAGGTGGACACAAAACGGACATAAGCAATCAAAGTTTGACCGGTTGAGCTAATAGGTTATTTGGTAAGGCGAAAGAACAGGAATAATTGTACAAATAAAGAGAATGGAGAAATAGAGAAAGAAATAAGAGGAAACGCAAGAAATTATCGGTTGCAACATACGGTTGCAAGGAAAAAGTGGCCAATTGAGGGACTAATAAAAAACAAAAACAGGAGGTAGGAAAAAATAACAGGAAAGGGAGGATACAATCGAAGGAAAGCGGTTTGAAACGAAGGAACACAAGAGCACAACAAAGAAAAAACAGTTCGAAACAAGGATTTGAATGAATGTTGGAAGGAAAGCATAGGAGGTAAAGTAAGAAAAGAGTGAGCAGGAAAGCTAAAACGTAGGGTTGAGGAAGAGCAAAAGAAGCTTTCACTTTAATTTCAAGAGTCCTAAAACTAGATCGCTCTGTTGAGAACTTGGAAACTTCTCAATGCATTTAACTCGAAAAACGAAGAGCGATAGCAAGTTAAAACGAAAGCAAGGAGTAGGGTGGAAACAAGAACGCTTAGACAATGGATAGAACGGAGAAACAAAACGATATTAGACGAAATGAAGGTAACGTATATGAAAGAGAGGAAGAGGGAGAGTTAACGGTCATCTAAACTCACTTTAGGACTTAGTTGGAGATAGAAGGCAGTTGAAGCATGAGATAGGCGAGGTTAAAGAAACACTAGTGACAAGAGCAGAAGAAACTAGCGAGAAAGAAACTGACGAAGCCCTAGGCAGAGATGTTGTCAAATCTCTCCATAAATGTTATAAATCATCAAATCGCTGGCTCACGAGGAGGGGCTCGCGGGAACAGGTTCTCCATGAAAATAACCGCGCCAAACGGCGGAGACGCAAAAGCGCGGAGGCATACAAGAGAAATATGTACGTTAATGGAAATTCGTAAGTCTAGAATTAGTCCTATACTCACCTGGGAAAAAGGCAGGAGTAGAAGTTAGGGAGCAGCTGTTACCAGTAGGAGCAGCTTGGGCTAGCAGGGAGAAACAGCGACGAGACGGGAGAAAAGGGCTAGTGATATCCTAATCTGGTTCCCAATTTGTCAAATTGTTATTTGACCTAAAAACAAAAATACCCATCTGTGACAGCCAAGTTAGCACGATGGTTACAGTTTCGCTTCCATTGTGAAAGGTCCGGGGTTCGATCTTTGAGTCGACAAAGTTCCTTCAGACGGTAAATAGTTCTAACTGCCACATTTGTTGCTCTTCAAAATGGTTTATACGATTTTGCTAGTAATTAATATTATGAAGCTCCGCAACCCTAAGACGATGTCGTCGCCTCTTGTTTATTTTATACTCAATTTCAGCTTTTTTTTTTGTACCAACTCTGATTGATCAGACTAAAAACCTGTACCAAGTCTGACGAATCAGACAGCCCAAAAACGAATCTGAGGGCCTGTCTCAGCCCAACACCTTCCACAGCTATGCATGGGTGTCAGTCTGCCTTCGGATGGCTCCTCGTGGCTCCTCATACCCCCCTCCCCGCTCATTCCAGTCCCTTCGCTCTTCCCCACCCTTCCCCCCTCCCCTTCGTGCCACCTTCCTTCGCTCCTATCAGTGGTGGCTACAACCTCCTGTAGTCACCCATTCCCCCTCTATTCACCCATTTCCCCTCTATTCACCCATTCCCCGTCTATTCACCCATCCCATCCCCTTTCCACGTGGTATCTATTCGTCCAGCCGCCTTATCGAGTACCTCTTCTATTCACCCATCCCCATCCCTCCCTTGAGCCAGTGGCGGCTACAGCCTACAACCTCAAGCAGGCCCGGCTCAATGATTCACCCCATGAAGTTTGACCCGGGTGACACGGCGGCGCTGCTGCAGTGCTGGGCGCTGCCAGCCAAGGCAGTCTCCACAAGATCCTAAGGGCTTCCCTCAGCCCAACAGATGCAAACCATACCAATACGGTAGAGTAGGGTGTACTCTTCCAGCGCATACATTCTGTTGTAACACAGTATCTATAATGTACTTGATAATAGCAGTGGCAGTGCGCAACTCTCAACACTAACCCCTACATGCTTAAAAAAACATACACTTGGGAAACTACAGGAAGACAGGGCCTCAATCAGGCCTGACGGTGATGTTTGCATCGTGCACCGTCCTTGAACTGCGTCCGTCCGTTCCCCCGTGTACCGCTAAGCAGAGCACGGAAACCCTTGCAGAAGTCGTGCCTTTCCAATAACGTCCTGAACTGAACAAGTTTCAGATGCGTGTGACCCTTGAGGTGTGGGGAGCTAGAGTGCATGAATCGGGTGCGCTGTGGCCTCCAGCCAGCAAAGCCAGAGCGGGCGGGCGGGGAGGTGTGATGCTTTGAAGTCTCTTGCAATGCACCACCTCGTTCAAATCGCTCCTTCCCGTGCCATGAAGTTGTGTTAGGATGTAATCTTCGGGCCTTTACACTAGGAGGGGAGGGGGGAGGGGGGGAGAAGGCAAGGAGTCACGGGCAGAGCAGGGTGCATGGGGAGACGGTCCATTCGGGCGAAAAGGGAAGCAGGGGTTGGTGAGATGAGGGAGGAGAGCGTGGAGGATGAGGGGGAAGTGAAGGAGAGGGGAAGGGCGCATACAGAGGAGATTGATGAAGGTGGAAGTGAGGGCAGTGGGAGAGAGGAAGGGAGCGGGTGGCAGAGGCATGGTGAGAGGATTATGAGAGAGGCATGGTGAGAGGATTATGAGAGAGGCATGGGAATGAACGGGTGGGAGCAAAGCGAGGGAGCGAGAGACTGCAGGGTCGTGAAGGATAAAGGGCTGCGCGGCGGGGGGGGGGGGGGTGCATGCGATGAGTGCTGATTAAACGAAGAGGGTCGCATTGGCATGCACACATGAATAGGGTCGCTGCAAGGTAGAAGCGAGGGGTTGTAGAGGGGCGAGGAGTGGTTCACGGCACGGCGTGGGCAGATGATGAGAGAGGCAGGCGAGGAACGGGCGGTTGCAGAGTGAAGCACGGAGATGAGCACCGAGGGGCCACGCCGATAGGCGGCCACGCCGATAGGGGGCGACGCCGATAGGGGGCGAGGTCGATAGGGGGCGAGGTCGATAGGGGGCGACGCCGATAGGGGGCGAGGTCGATAGGGGGGGAGGTCGATAGGGGGCTCACCTGCGTTGGACTCACCTGCGTTGGACTCACCTGCGTTGGACTCACCTGCGTTGGACTCACCTGCGTTGGACTCACCTGCGTTGGACTCACCTGCCTTGGACTCACCTGCGTGGGACTCACCTGCGTTGGACTCACCTGCGTTGGACTCACCTGCCTTGGACTCACCTGCGTGGGACTCACCTGCGTGGGACTCACCTGCGATGGACTCACCTACACAGGGCGTGCCATGACGGCACGGAGGGCGCGGGTCACGAGGAGGGGTGCGATCGCTTGTGGTCGCGCGCCAGCTTGGACAGCAGGCGCAGCTTGCCCGCCGTCTCCGCACTGCCGGGGCTCCTCTCCGCCGCCTCCCTGAACGCCTCCAACGCCTGCCACCGCGCAGCACGGCAGGACAGTGCAGCACAGCACGACATCATGCCACCACACACATTCTCGTCACCCCGGCAGCACCCAACTTAGAAATTCGAGATTGAACAAGTGAGGGCAGGCGAGGGCAGGTGAGGGCAGGCGAGGGCAGGTGAGGGCAGGTGAGGGCAGGTGAGGACAGGTGAGGGCAGGTGAGGGCGGCTGACCTCGTCGTAGCGCTTCATGGCCTCCAACGCACAGCCCTTGCGGTAGTAGCCCTGCGAGGATCCAGGCACACGCCACACCACCACATCCCACCACACCACCACGCCACCACGCCACCACGCACATCGCAACGCACGCGAGAGCGCGCGTGAGTGAGTTTCCAATTGCGGGCGGCAGAAGCGGAAGCGAAACCCCGTGGATCCCCGCGAGTTCCGCGACGGCTCACCTTCTCCCACGCGGGGTTGAGGCGGATGGCGGCCTCCGCGTCCGCCAGCGCCTTGGTGAGCTTCGACAGCTGCAGGAACGCCGCCGACCGATTGCTGCGCGCCGCACGTGCAGTCAGCCACGGCCGCCGCGCCAAATACGGAATAACAAAAAAACGCGGAAATTGAAACGAAATGCGCGCGGCGCGGTTACCTGTAGAGCGCGTGGTTGTCAGGCGCCTCTTTAATGGCCTGCGTGTAGATTGCCGCCGCCTTGAGGAAGTTCTTCGCCTTGAACTCCGCGTTGCCGCGCTCCTTCAAACCCGCCTCGCCTTGCGCCTCGCTCGAGCCCGGATCCGCCATCGCTGCGATCGGCACGCGCGCTGAGAGAGGCACAACGACGGCTGGATCTGTGGCGATGGGAGCGACGGTGAGTCGTCGCTGCAGTGATCGGGATCTCGCCGTGCTTCGCTCTCCCGCTAACTGGTGCAAAAGTGAAGTCGAAGAGAGTCGCTCGTTCAAATGGAGGGTTCTGCTGCTGAATCAGTGCTGCAGGGCACATATGGAGGAATGTACGCGCTAGAAATGTACCTTCCAAACAAACAGTAGATATTTAGGTTCCGAGTTTCTATTGATGGTGATAATATTGGTCATTAAAACATGGTGGAATGTTCTCGAGTGTGAAGTCTCGTACGGAAGATGGTCACCGAGCGCTAACGGGGACCTCTTTGGGCGAGCAAAATCGTGGTATTGACGGCCAGATGTTCACCTGATTGACTCGTGTAGATGAAACGACTGGGAGATCCCACGCCAGGTGGCGCCCTATTAGCAGCTTCAGATGAGATGCAGAAGGCGATGCCACGTCACGTGCATTCACCTCGATCTGATCTGAGACTGACCGAATGATCGCACTTCTTCATCACCTCCCTCGCTCGCGAACGATTCTCGAGTTTCCTCCACCCCGCGCTTCGGGATCAGATTCCACGGCGATAGCCAGCAGCCAGTCGTGCGTGCGGTAGCGACGGGAGTAGTGGCAGAGGCGGATTAGTTTTGTCTGCACGCGCCACACCTATACGCCCGACATTTCTGGCGCGGATTAGTTTTTTGGCGCGGCCCTCCTCGTCCCTCGTCCTCCCCCGCTGAGCTTCGCCCGTCCTGGGGGTTGTCGCGGGCGCCGATCGCGAGTCTGAGCACGCGGCGCCGCGCAGAGCTTGCGAGGCATGGAGGCCCTCGCCTCGTCGCACGCTGTGTCGCACACAGCGTCGCCACGCTCTTTGCCGACGACCGTCGCAAGATGTCTGTCGCCAGGCCACGTGGCGAGCTTCAACGGTTCCGTCTCGCGTTCACTCGCGGTACGTGTTGCGCACACGACGCGTGGCGCCGCGGCCATCGGTCCGGCCACGGCATTTTGGAGGGCCGGAAAGAACACTGCAGACGCGTATGGAGGGTGGGAGTGGGCGCAGAGGAAACGCGCAAGTAGAATGCGTGTGATGCTGGTAACGCACTCGAGACTATCACCGGGCGACGCTTCAATTCGCGCTAAGGAAAAAGAGACTCGCGATGTTTTGTCCTCGAGTTACACCATTTCGCGTACTAATTCGCAGCAGTTGCGCACGAACGCCGCCAGCTCGCCATCCGTCAACGTCGCCGCCACGCCGCGCCAAGCCGCGATTTCGCGCTGCGAGCGTGAGTCGTCAGTCGCGTGCGTGATCTAAATGTGGCAGGATTCGAATCCCCATCTGTTCTCCCGTGTGCCCTCCATGTGCTCTCCCTTCTCCCCTCGCCAGAATCAATCCCATAATCGCCCACGCGCCGCCCCACCCCAACGCGTCTCCCTCTCCTCCCTCCCTCGCTGCCCCCGCCGTCCCTCCGCCTTCCCCCGCCGCCACGCCGTCCGCAGCCTCAAAGACGCCGCCGCCTCCTCCCCCTCCGCCATCCCCGCCCCTTCCCTGCCCTCGCTGCCGTCGCTCCCGTCCACCCACCCCGCGCCTCCACAAGTCATTCCCCTGAAGGACATCCCCGCGTTCGTGGCGCGCAGCCCGCTGCTGCAGCGCGCGGGGCTGGCGCAGGCGGACGTGCAGCGCGACGCCGCGGCGTGGGGCGCGCTGGGGGGCGAGCTGGCGCTGCAGCTGGGGTTCGTGGGGGGGCAGGGGGAGGGGGGGGCGCAGCTGGAGGAGGCGCAGCTGCGGCGCATCTTCCAGTACTACCTGCCGGTGTTCTCGTGGTGCTGGCGCCAGCTGCTGCACCATCGACGCCACGCGCAGGGCGGCAAGGCGGCACCCACTCAGGCGCCGCCCCTCGTGGTGGGTGGGTGTGAGGTCGAATGCGGCAGGGGGTAGGGCGAATGTGGCATGCGTGGGTGTAATGATTGGTGCGAGGATGACGGAGAGAAGGCGAGCAGACGAAGGGGGAAGAGATAAAGAGAGCAAAGGAAGGGGGAGGGAGGGAAATCAGGTGTTTGGGAGTCACTCCTTTGCATGCTGTTGTGAGTTAAGGGAAACGTAAGGAGGGGCTGAAAGGATGCGAGAGTATATCTGCAAGTCGGTGCGGTACTAACTACTAGTGGATTTGGTGATGTTAAGTCTGGTATGAAATGGTTGGTGTGTTACATAGTCTTATGTTTGGTACTAAGCATAAACGTGTTATTCAACCTTATGCCAGGTGCTATTCCAAAACGTGTTTCTTAGCCATGTCTGGTAATAACCATAAATGTGTTACTATTTATTGTTACAAACTCTTGTGCGCTACTCCACCTTGTGTCTTTATCTGCCATGTCCCCAACCCCCCCATCCTTCCCATGCTCCCCATGCTACCATGCTCCCCATGCCCCCATGCATGGCATCAGATCGGAATCAGCGCCCCCCAGGGGTGTGGCAAGACAACGGTGGTGGAGTCCCTCGAGCACCTCTTTGCCGTCACACACTGGTGTGTGCCGCCCTGCTTGCCGCCCTGCTTGCTGCACTGATTGTTGCACTGATTGCCACCGTGCTTGCTGCCTTACTTGCTGCCTGCTAGCCGCACTGCTGGGAGAGTTAGTGAAACCTAATCGTTGACTAAATCTGGCAGGGAAATGTGCGTGCCAGGGTTAGTCAATTCACTTACTTTGAGTTGGCTTTGCTAGATTAAGAGGGGTGAAATGCGGTAGAAAGAGAAATTGGATGGACAATTTGTGGATCTGGTTCTGTTTTGGCGAGATTGAACCAGATCCATTTCGAAATAAAATTTGCGCTAACATTGCCAATGTCAATTTCGTTGCGCGAATTTTTTCGTTGGGCTGCTCGAAAATTTCCGAGGCGAGGGACTAGCGTCCAGCGTACGGACGCTAGTGCATATATGCTGGACGCTCGCCATCCAGAACGTATATGCTCACTTAGGCGGCAAGTAGTGCAGCAAGCAGTGCAGCAAGCAGTGCGGCAAGCAGTGCAGCAAGCATTGCGGCAAGCAGTGCAGCAAGCAGTGCAGCAAGCAGTGCAGCAAGCAGTGCAGCAAGCAGTGCAGCAAGCAGTGCGGCAAGCAGTGGCGCAAGCAGTGCGCACAATGCAGTCACCTCAGCTCTTGGTTGCACTGTCTGGCTCTCTCCATCAGGCTCACTATGTGCCCCACTGCATCTGTGCTCTCTATGTGCCCCACTGCATCTGTGCTCTCTATGTGCCCCACTGCATCTGTGCTCTCTATGTGCCCCACTGCATCTGTGCTCTCTATGTGCCCCACTGCATCTGTGCTCTCTATGTGCCCCACTGCATCTGTGCTCTCTATGTGCCCCACTGCATCTGTGCTCTCTATGTGCCCCACTGCATCTGTGCTCTCTATGTGCCCCACTGCATCTGTGCTCTCTATGTGCCCCACTGCATCTGTGCTCTCTATGTGCCCCACTGCATCTGTGCTCTCTATGTGCCCCACTGCATCTGTGCTCTCTATGTGCCCCACTGCATCTGTGCTCTCTATGTGCCCCACTGCATCTGTGCTCTCTATGTGCCCCACTGCATCTGTGCTCTCTATGTGCCCCACTGCATCTGTGCTCTCTATGTGCCCCACTGCATCTGTGCTCTCTATGGATAACCTCTCATTCTGTGCCTCACATGCTCTCTCACATCCTCCTCTCTGCCCTCTCTACCCCCTTTGCCCTTACGCCCGGGGGGGCAGCACGGCAGCAACGGTGTCAATCGATGATTTTTACCTCACCGCACAGCAGCAGGTGCACCCCACGCCCTCCCTCCTTGCCTTCTCATTTTTGAAGCGCCAGCTCTGCCATGCACCTGTTGCAACTGTCACATCACTCCTCCCACTTCTTGGCAGATGCATGCTTTTCATGCCCCTAATGCCGCTCATGCCTCTCCTGCCGCTCATGCCTCTCATACCTCTCATGCCTCTCATGCCTCTCATGCCTCTCATGCATGTTCACATGTTCCTCACGAAGCATGGCCCTCATGCATGCAGCATGCCGATTGTCCACAAAGAATTCCCAGCTACCTCTTCCATGCTCGCCCCTTTCACACCCACTCTGCTCACACGCCCATGCGCACTGTCTTCTCGCTCGTTTTCTGCCCCCCAGGCTGCACTGCGCGAGGCTCATCCCGCCAACCGCCTGCTTGAGGTGCCTCTCCCACCCGCTCCACCACTCAACCCCTCTGCACCGCTTTCCTTCCCTGGCTCCCCTCCCGCCCTTAAACCCTCTCGCCATCTCTCTTTTTCAGTCCTTGCGCGTTGCCCCACCACTGCTTCCACTCCTCCACCCCTGCCTCCTGCTGCTCCAATTCCCTGCCTCCTGTTGCCCTAATCCCCGCACCACACTTTGCTGTTCTCCCTTCCAGTGTACTCCTCGTTCTCCTCATCCTTCAACCAGTTTGCCTCAACCCCCTGTCCGCACCTGCCATTGCGCCCCCACCTTAACCCACATGCACTCCGCGTGCACCCCACATGCACCCCACATGCACCCCGCTTGCACCACCACCACCACCACCACCACCACCACCACCACCACCACCACCACCACCACCACCACCACCACCACCACCACCACCACCACCACCACCACCACCACCACCACCACCACCACCACCACCACCACCACCGCCGCCGCCGCCGCCGCCGCCGCCGCCACCGCCGCCGTCATCGTCGTCGTGGTGGTCGTCATCATGCCCGCCTGCCCGTGTCACCTCTCCATGCCCGCCTGCCCGTGTCACCTCTCCCCTCAGCTGAGGGGCAACGCCGGCTCACACGACCTCGCTCTGGGCGTCTCCACACTCTCCACACTCAAGAAGGCCTCAGCACCTGGTGAGGCACCTGGTGAGGCAAGCACACAGTGGCACGAGAGCAGTTGGCACGAGAGCAGTTGGCATGAGAGCAGTTGGCATGAGAGCAGT